TATAGTATATATATAGTATTATTATTATTAGTTATTATTATTATTACTTATTATTACTTACTTACTTACTACTACTACGTACTACTACTACTACTACTACCTACCTACCTCCTCCTCTCTCTCTCTCTCTCTCTCTCTCTCTCTCTCTCTCTCTCTCTCTCTCTCTCTCTCTCTCTCTCTCAAAAAAAAATAAAAAAAATAAATAAACTTACAACATTCAGCATGACAGAATTTCTAAAGTTCGGCATAACAATCACATACGATTCTATTCATGAAAGAGGCCACAATTCTGACTAAAACCATGAACAAAAACATGCAAACAAAGCTCCATCCAAGAGAATCAAGTGCAATAAATGCCCTAAAATTTTACCTCCCACACCCAATTTATTTGTTTTCCTCAACGATAATAATCAATTCACATTTATTTTGGAATCTTTTCTGTTTATTGCATTGTACGGGCACTTGTAAGTAAAATTTGTGAGTCTTGATAAAAGAAAAAGAAAATTTTTGAATTTATACACCAGATAGTTCCAACTTTCAGATGTTGCAATGCGATAATCTCGTAATCCCTTAAAGAACATGTTTGGAACACCAACTCTATGATTAAAGTTCCAAAACCACTTTATTATAGATACCTAGAGATTTGCACATTAATGTACAAAAACATTCCTACTTGTACCTCAATCACAATCTGGAGAAAAAGCAGCCATCAAAATGGTTCACTTCCTCTTAGTGTTTTTAAATTAATGGATTTCCATCACGATTAAGGGATTTTGACATGGTTGCATAGGTTATAACATTCTCAATTGCTTTCATATGGGTGGCTGCTCTTCCTGCCCATTGTAATTGAGGGACATGTAGGAATACTTTTACGCACTGCAAAAAATTCCATCAATATCAAAATGGACCGATTCAACACTTGGTCAAATGGTCAGTTTGATACCTTGAACACTTCTTACAGTGATGACTAGACTCTATCCTTGCCACATCTGTCTTCTATCAATGAACACTCATTCAGAAATGCACAATAGCTATTATCCCCCTTAATCTAGGAATCATTCAAACAATATCTCCTTGCCATATCTGACACATCAGTCTTCTATTTTTTTATTTTCTTCTTTTACTATTCACTGATCAATTTTATTTTGTGAAAAAAGAAAGTTCTTCTTTTGGCTTGATTTACAACCATGTTCTTTCTCCATTATTGTTGATTTTTACTTGTTTGAGGTTCGGGAAAAAGTAGATTTAATTTCCCCCATTTCTTTCCTGCATCAACTACTCACCAAAATCTTTACATTGTTCGTGAAACCCAAATAAACCAGTTTCTATCGCCCACTTCATCTTTGAGGACTTTACCACCAAATATTATGTTTAAATTGTTGGCCCAGCAATTTGGTCTTTTCCCAATGTCTTCCTATAACATAGCTAGGGCCCATTTCTCCAATTTAACTTGCATTGTTTTTCTTTCTTTGGTGAAGTTTCAGTCTGCTATCCACAACAGGCACATCCATTGCTGTCACCCATCGCTTCCTCTGAGAAGACGACAGCCTCCTCCCCTCTCAACCACTCTCTCCAATCCTCTCTCCACTCATTAGGGGGCGGCACTAAGGACGACACTCGTTCTATGGAGGACCAGTTACCATGCAGCATATTTAACCTATTGATTATCTCTCCCACACATCATGAAATAAGCTACAGTACCATCTACTGTATGCTTGGCATTATAAGCTAATTTACCCACATTCTAGCACAATGTTATCGCTTCTTACCTTTGATCTGCTTCATGCAACTATTTACACTAATACTGTAGCCAAAGAACACTGCATGTGTTACAAGTATAACACTCAATTCTGCCTTTTTGGTCTAGATTTCCAATTTCCATGAGTTAGATCACTCTGATGTAAGAGGAATTTATGGTTTCTTACTATATTTACCTCATCCACGACTTTAACAAAATAAATGGATAAATCGAATATTCTGGATATTCTTCTTGAAGCACAAATCAGAAGTTTATTATGTATTTAGTTCTTTTCATAGCATATTAAGTACTCAATTTCTTTTTACTAATGGTGATTTCTCGTTCATTGAAGAAAAAGGTCTATAACTATAATCCATGTACAAAGAATTATAACAAAAATAGGATTTGACAAAATTGTAAAAGAGATGAGCCTAACTGACGATTGTGCTGTGAATAATTGAGAGTGAAGATTTGTTAGTCTTGGGCCAAAGAAGTGGCTAGCAGCCAAGTATGTTTGAAGATACCACAAAACAGAAATAAAATCAAAAGATCATGTCAAAAAAATTTTCAAACACCATGGACAGGCAATGCTTTTGTTTGACCAAGACAAATGATGGTGAAGTCACCTTTTATATGAAATGGCCCCATCTGAAGATTGCAAACTCAGATTCACCAAGTCATCAAAGTTTCTCATTCCGAATCAAGGGGCCATGAATTGCTTCGATGGTCACAAGTGTCACTATTATGGGAAAGGAAGGACAAGAAAATTTGCCCATTGGGTGAAAATGAAGAAGAAAGTGAAAACAGATTTTCTACCATGCACTCCCAAAGCACTTTTTACAAAATTTTCAGAACTTGAAACAAGTTGAACATGCATGTAGGACTTTTCTGGTTGAAAAGCAAAACTCTTAGTTGCTGGAATTGTATTCCTTCCAAAACCATTTGTGTATTTTGTTCCTCTAGCAATCTTGGCGCATTATGACAGGGAGGAATGGTGGGGATCAGCATGGGGGTAGCAGTGTAGTGAGGATGACAAAAGGTAGTAGGAAATAATCCCAATTCTTATATGATTAGGATGATAAAAGGTGATAGAGAAAACCTAACCGCCCTGAATTTCATTCATTCAGATCTTACTAATCCAAGTAACTTAAAAGAAACTGTCAATTAACTTTAACAGCACTCCTAATTTGTTAGCACTTTATAATTTAATTTCAGTAAAATGACAAATAAACCAGAACAGTCAGCCACAAGATTACCCCTTAGATCCTACACCAAAAAACTATAAGTTTCCCAATCCATACCACCGGCATTATCTCATACAATCTCTTGCAGGTAATGATATATAAACATGATGTCATGATGACATCAACTATGAAAAATGCTTTGATCCTTGTTTTCCCCTATTTTACCACCGTGATCACCCAGAATGAGCTTTTGTTAGTTTTCCCCTCTCTTTTCTTTTCTTTTTGTCTGTTTTTTTTGGTTGTTTACAAGATACTTCTGGCATCAAGCCACAATTGCCATCACCACCAACATGAACCCGCCACCACTGCACCACCACCATGATCAATCAACTGCCAACAACACTGCTTCACCACCACCTTTCAAGCAGAGCTATCTTCTATGGTGAGAGCAAGAGGATATGTGGGCCTCTACTTCAAGGAGAACTAGAAACCTCGCGAGAGATAGATAGAGAGAGCACAGCATGGCAGCAATGGCAGTGATGGTTGTGATGCCTCTTTCATGGTGATAGTGCAAGTAATCAGCGACTGGAGTAGGGGATAGTGAGGTTCATGGAAAAGAACCAATTCTTATACAGGTCAGGGCCTACGCAAGTCTTTTGATCTAATCAGATGGATGACCCATATTGAGACCCATATTTTCCATTTAATAGGATAAACAAAATCAAATTTTATGGTAATTTTTTTCCCCTCAATTTGGGCAAAGTGAATTAAAAATTGTGATACCCCGATATAAACCAGATAGCAAAAGAGCAATGGACACAGAAAGTAGGGCTCTTATTTCACCATTTCATAGATTCCAGGATTATCCAGCAAATAATAGAAATAGATTATAGCTTATAAAGGAAAAAATATACCATATATCTTACTTTCATTCATATTATCTTATAGTTATATGCTCTAATATATCTAAAAGCAATCATATTATAATTTCAGGATATGATATTATTTGTTAAAAATTGTAGTTATCAAAATCAGATGTCATATCACAACGAAAAAAGGAATAACTAGTAGTATCTGGTAACAGTTTATACTGTCGACAGCAGAACACCAAGAATATGCGCATATCAGGCAATCTTGACAAAAACCATATTTCACTGTAACTTCTACTGTTATAAATTTATCTAGAGTGCAAATCATAATGAATCCATAAGTGAAATATAAAGGAAAACCTAGAGAAGAAACAATTTATACAGTAGTTGAACCAGTGTCAACAATATACGATCAAAAAGAAATGAACAGTGTAAAAAATATCACTTAGCTTAAGAAATCGCTTACGGCAGGACACAAGTCACCAAAGAATCATACCTACAAGCAACAATTGGGTCCTTTGAATAGTCCAACAAATGCTGTTGAATTACATCCCAAGCCGTGTAAAAATCTACACAAAAGAACAAAGATCACCACAATCAAAAAACCAATAATAGATGGATTTTTTTTTCACTGTAATAGATGAAGGAACATCCTTTTGTTACTAATAGAAAAGCCGTATAAACCACGCCACATGGTACTTTCCAATGCAACGGCACTGAATTGAACAAGTGTCTGATAGATTAATTGTATCTACGAGCTAAGAACCTTCATTGAAGTTTAGCAATCTCACTGTAACAATCTCAACTTCAGTCCTTCCAATTTCAAATGTTATACATTTTTTTTTTTTTAAATAATTTCAAATGTTTTACCTTGTATGTTCATAAGCATAAAATGCAATAATAACATCTTAAGATAAACCATTTCTCAATGCACTAGGCATTGTGAAGTCAAAGACAGAAAATTTCTGAGGAGAAACCAAAGGACCGACTCTTGGAAGTGGAATAAGAGGGTGACTAGACATTATGCAGATAATAACTTATTTCAGGCACTAATTGTCTTTCTACAAGCCCCAGATAGATCACTCACTACATCAAGATGCCTAAAAAGCAAAAGAAGACATTTGAAGGCAATCAAGGAAGCTCTCAGTTCTACATGAGAATAGTCACAATGTCCCTCCAAACCCCATAAAGGCATCAAAAACCATTAGTAAGCTATCTCTAATCATGAAACCCACAAGTGGGCACTCTAAATTCCTTTGGCAGCTTTCGTCACTAATCACAATCAAGAGGCACAAAAAAAGAAGACATTTGCAAGCCAGCCAATGAAGCTTCCACATCTAATCAGTAGAGTTGATTTAGAGTCACAAATCCCCGTAACACTGCCAAGATATTGGAAACTGTTGGATTTATAGCCGTTCAAAGTCTTGACCCCACCATTCTATGATAGTTCTCAGTCATAGTGGGAGCGAAATAGTACACTTGTCTCACCGAATTTTTGCAAACTGGAATTTAAAAAGATATAAACCCTAATTTATGAGGACTGAGTGCTTAAAAGGGGGCTTTCGGACCAAGAGATTTGAGGGTTCCCTCTAATCAAGGTTGGTATAAGTACACTTCATGATTTTGTTATCCAGGGTATGAATATTCCAATGGATCTGAGAAATTCTGTGAGCCCGACCGATTTTGAGTATTTCTAATAGCCCTGCGTGAAAAGGATGTGCTTTGAGAGGACATGAACCAAAATCCCTAACCATGAGCCTTCTCACAGCGTGTGCATATATAATTGCAAATGGAATTTTTTGAGAATGTTTTAGAATTTTTGGGAATTTTTCTGAAGGCAAGAATAATGAATTGTGGATTTGTTCAAGAAAACGATAATTTAGGACAGCCACACATGTGGCCGAGGTGGTGCCCAAACGGCCAATGGGCACCACACGGCTGCCACGTCACCACACCCTGCTGATGTGTGGCTAACGTGAGGAGCCCTAGAGCGACGTGCCCATCTTATTGTGTTTGGTTGGAGCACATATTGTGTGCTCTTATATTATGGACATCAGGTGAATTCTTGGTGCATGCAATTTGCCATTAGGACCAAGATTTTTTCCCTGATGTTTGGGGCTTTGTCCAATTAAAATCAATATCTTACAACATTTTTTTACGTGGGAAATTTTAATTGCACGAGTGTGTGTACACATGAATGCTATGACACCTGTCTAATGACAACACATATTTGGATTAAGACCATGGGTATTTTTGGCATCAACATTTATTTGGATTGAATTTCAATTTACATGTAATCAAGAGAAATTTGGCAATGAATTAGGGTTTCGGGGGATAATGGTGTGACAAATCTCATCCACACGTGATAGTCATTTTGTGAGATGAACGAAGGATCTTTGCTCTCTCTCACCCCTTCTATGCCCTTAATCCATGGTCCAAATTTAATTACACTTGAAGCTTCCACATACCAGCCTAGGTATACCCTTATACCCTAATTTCTTACATACCTAGGAGAGTTAGAAACCAACTTTGAGAGGCACGCCACCCTTTTCACTTGTTCTATGAGTATTCTAAGACAGAAAAGAGAGAGACAATGAGTAAAAGGGAGAGGCACACCCCCCTCTCCATGGAGCATCTTTAAGGGCATGAAGCACACCTCCTTTCCGCTTCTTCTTCATCATTTCAGCCACCTTCTTGCTGTAAATTGAGCAACTACAGCAAGGTAAACCTTTCCTTATGATCTTTTAAGTTCATTTTCTTTGGTCCTTGCATGCTTAACTAGTTTGACTATACACCTTGTTCACTATATCCCATGTCGGCATAGTTTCTCATTGGCTCTTCTTTGGACATATCCTATCTTGGCATGGTTTCTCATTGGCTTGTCCTTTGAGTTTTATTTGGGTGAAATTTTCTAAGTATTTTCATAGTCTACCAGCAAGTTAAAGTCAATTCTGGTGTACTTAGAATGCCATCTTTCTTAGACCTTACCATGAAAAACCTTCCCCGTGCATACACATGATTCTCATACTCTATTGTTGACCCATATTCTTGACGTGCCTTCTGATCTAGCCCACACGTTATCATCTTCTTGCCCCATTCTTGAGTACTTTATTTGAGAACTTCAAATGTGGATCAATGCTTCATGATGCTTGCTTCCCATAAATTGAGATTAAATTTGGACACATGAGCTTGCGCTATCGGTAGTAGGCATAACAAGGGTTGTGTTTAGATCCTTCTTGACACACCGGGTAAAATGAGCTTAAAATCGACTTCCCATGATTTTAGATTAATGTGCACACGGTTTGTATATGTAAATAGAGAGTGAGTTTGTATAAATTTTGCAACCCTAGTGTTTGTGTTAATTCGAGTTTGTATTAATTCATGAGTTGGGTATATGTGGCTGAAATTGTATTTAAGGGACATTGTATGGTATTTTCACAATCTCTATGGTGTCCATATGAATAAAAGTTTTGTTTGGATAATATTGAGGTCATGTATATGTGATCTTGAGTGTATGTAATAGTCCTTATGGGGCGAAAGGTTGGATGTATTGCCACAATTTGGTCCAAGGTCTTCATACCTCAAGTCTTTTGTATTCAAATTTATAAAAAAAAATAACTATTGTTCCCTAGGAAATGGGTTAAACACTCGACAAAACCTAAGCTAAGTTATATCTACGACACCCATTATGAGGCGCCCTTGATTCCTCTTGCAGCTTCCCTTAAGAGTTTGGAGCCACTTACTTAGGCAGCCCCATGTGCTAGTGTTTTATGATAGCAAGTTCTCTTTTAGTGATTCCCAATAAGGCAAAACTTTTTTAACCACAGTTCAATTTTTAGATTTCTTTAGAAGGGTGCCCCTTCGAAAATTGGCAATTCATAACCCACTTCCTTGTCAAATTTATCTTCATTCACATTTCAAACACTCCCTGGATTTTGGCTTGTAAGCACAAAACCCCAAACATTAATATCCTAAATTTGGTAAGAAAAAAGGCCAATCAAAGATGATGGATCCATATTTTTTAGGAAACGAGAGTCCAAAAGGAAAAAAGAGAAACACACAATATACTACACACGAACACTAAAAAATATTTCTGACAGTTTGAAAAATATCCTAAAACAATAAGAAATGGTTCTAAAAGTGGATTTGTACCATTGGGTCAAGAAAAGTAATTGTCAGGGCACTCTTCTCATGATTGACCCGTCAAAGTTAGCAAATAAAAAAAGGAACTGTAGTTCCAGTATCGTGGATTACATGTTCATCTCCCGAGGAGTGATTCACATGCACTTTTTGACCTCCCTTGGTGTCACATGCACGTATCGCTAAAGTGCAAAGGGGACTCTATATGTGCACATGTACACGTCTCCCTTTGCAGGGCTGCTTTAGAATGAGGCTGTCATATGTACATGCCGTGTGGGAATTTTATTCAGGATTTGACCCTCGCTCTCATAGGCTTACATCCACACATAGGAGACCATGAAGCTCTCCTGGCCTACATACATCGTCCTTAGACATCTCTCCAACCATAGTTGTTGGAAACGCCTGAGAACCCGAATCGTTTCAGAAACCGGAATCGAGGAATCGCCCTGGCCAGAAGTTCCCTGTTGTAGGAATCGTTGTCCGTACAATAGGAATCGCTGGGAACGTGATTCCTAATTTTCAAGAATCGAGTATCGATTGGAATAGGTCCAAGTTTCACCTACATATGGAATCGAGATTCCAACCTCCTTGGAATCGAGATTCCCATCCCCCCGGGTTCGACACTCCAAGTGTTAAGTTTCACAAATACACGGAATCGAGTTTTCGACATATGTGGAATCGAGTTTCCGATATACACAGCATCGAGTTTCCAATATACGTGGTATCGAGTTTCCGTTGTATGCGGGATCGAGTTTCCATCATTTATGGAATCGTGCTTCTAACATATTAGGAATCGAGTGTCAATCATCTAAGGAATCGTGTTTGTAACATATTTGGAATCAAGTTTCTAAACTATGTGGATAAGAGATCCATGTTCGTTTGAGATCGAGATTTACAATAGCGCAATTTAGTTTCTGGCATCACTTGATTCCAGTTTCTGACATACGTGATACATAGATATGTTGCTGTGTAGAATCGTGGTTCCTACATATTTGGAATCAAGTTTCTGAAGTATTGAAGGGGTGAGTTGGTCAAGTGTCACTGGGTAGAATTTTTAGACATTAGGAGTACTACAATACCATTTAGGAAGTGTCAGGTGTCACTAGATTGTTTAGACTTTAGACATTAGAAGAGTTTGGGTTTTCTCAAGCTGATGCTATCACAGAATGTGGTATAGGGCCTATAGGCATTGTCGCAGCTACATGGCGGCATGTTGTGCAGTGTGTGGTATAGGGCCGGCATTATCGCAGCTACAAGGCAGCATGTTGTGCGTGAAGGAAAGATGGTTGTATCAACATGTGTTAGTGTATCATCTGAGAGACAACGTGGTTGGCAAAGTTTACACTGGAACACCAACTTACCCCTTCAAGAGATCAAATTTAAATATTTAGAGCTTTAAAGTACTAAGTTACTAACTACTAAACATGAC